GCACTTGGTACTTCGGCTCGGAAAAGACCAGTCCTCTATCATTCTTCAATTTACGTTTACAGACTTAGTCCTTGAACTGAGATGCACCCTCCAACGCCTTTCACTCCAATTCACCCAGGACTCGGAATGCCTAGGAAAAAATGAATACATGATTTCAAATTATTTGAAAAATGTTTAAAAAAATGTTATATAAAAAAACCCTTCACGGACTTTTGTGTGAACATGTCAGAAAAAAAAACGATTTACAAAATATTAACATCTGGAACCCCTCCTGGACACATTTAAATAGTTTCTCCTAGGTGCAAACAACACCACTCGCAAAAAATGCCATAATGTCGGCAATTCACGACACTAGTTCCCACGAATCATCGGATGAGTTTTTTTCACGATTGATGATTATATATCTTTACCCTATTTGAAGTTTGACGCACTTTGTTTAAAGTGTGACACGCTGTGCTCATTCAAGGACAATGACGCAATCCGGTTTGCATTTCACAGCGAGGACAAGTCTCGAATGAATAAGGCCCAAAGAATTTTGCGATTGTCCTAAAACGGAGGTTTTCTGTTCACACTCAAATGTGATGAATTTCTCGATGTCAAAGGTGGGAACAATATGGATTGAGGTGTCTCTGTTTATTAAGACAGGACAAGCAGTTGCCTGATAACCCAAGAAGTGCAGTTACTATATATGCAGATTGTTGACAACTCGGCGGAGGCCAGATGCGAGTCTCAGTTATTAAATGAAAACAAAACCTGCCACGATGACGCACGAGAGTTTGAACGGTTCAAGTTCCCCGTGCCGCTATAGTAGAGGTTGTCAGAGACCTCAATCCCAGAGACTCTTTTCAAGAAGCCCGCCGACATACAGCCATCCGTTAACCAAGAAACAGTGACTGGAGTGACGCCCGGGGTTCACCCGTCCCTTCACCCATACAACACGGCCGACTCGTCAGCAACATACACGAGGCTTGGGGAGAGAGAGAAAGAGACATCCTCGCTAACTCGCCGTCCGCGGCCGCAATTAAGCAGTCAGGCTGACGGGGCCCCGGTTAATTCACCAAGACGGCAGGGATGATACCCAACCAGACAAAACTGCGAGATTTTGTTTAACCGAGTGATAAATATTATCCGCTGGGACGTCGGAACGGAAAACATTTTGACAAACAAGGCGACAAAGAGAGGGAAGGAAGGGGAGTTCTTCAGTCGCCCCAGTCGGCGAAGATGGCGGCCAGTCTATCGCCTACCAACCCCTTGATTTATTATAATAGCCTGTGCAAATAAATAGCACTGATTGGATTTATTTTCACTTGTCACCGAATAACACTGGTGATGACATGGCCCTATTCTCAAGATAAACATGGAAACTTTGTTGTGCTTTGAGTTCGAAACTGGTCGGCAGCCAGACGCGTCACGCTGCATAGTCGTCGCTGGCAACATGAAAAGTACATTGACTCTACCACACCAATCAGTGCGCGCCAGTATAGTTCTATATGTCTTATATGTGTACTTTTACTTGCTAGCGATATGATTATGTGTGCAGGTATTTCTGGAACTGTTTCATGACGGAAGGAACTTCTAAGTAAGAGGATTGATTAAACCGATACGTTGAGCCAGACGAGTACCAATTTATGACTTTTTTGTTTCTATGTAACTTAGGCCTATTTATTTTTATGGCCCGGCCTGGTATCGATTTCTGACCGTTTTGGGGTCTTTAAATGATTTATTTTCACATGCGAATTTACATTATTCATGAGCAAAAGTGTGATGTCATTTCTGGCAGAAACCTCAATGTTACAGCTATTTCAGCACAAGTAATTGCCAGAATTTTGAATATTTAGCTGTCGTGAATTCTCTTTTCTTTGGTGATTCATTGTTGTGTCTGTATATACATGGCAGTAAGCCAATGAGCAAACTTTTCTCAAAAATATACCAATGAGCAGATTTTTGGGTTCACAATTTGAACAGAAAACCCCTAAACTGATCAGTGTCTTTCTGAAATTACATCACAGCAACATCGCCCTCAGTTGTCTGGAAAAGCATGGAAAAGTTCAAATATCTAAAGAAGTGCACTTTTCAATAAAAATTAACCAAAAAGGGATGCTAAATAGTTTTCATACATATAAGAGAAGTAGAATGATGCACAAAATGTGTTCCTAGGAAAAACTCATCTCAAAATTCATTTTGTTTCTGAAGAGCATTGCAGCTGGTACCTGCTACGTATGTGCACATGTAACACAAAACTTAATATTCCCCTATGCAACTCTGACGGATTTCAATCGAAAAAAATTAATAAATAAAATAACACTGTCTGTCCAGTTAAAATTCAATTGTCGCATTGGTCCGTTTCTCTGGATTCTAACTCACTATATTAATTATTAGAAAACAATTAGTTGGCAATCTTGCATTTGTTATGTTTTGGTTGCTTTTCTTTTACTTGCCATAAATTTAATTTTGCTAAAAAGAACCATAGAAATTGAATACCAAATGGAGATAATGCGTTATTATTTGACTACTATATAAAGAAATCATTTATTTATTGATTTTGTCGTCCATAAATTTCAAGTATGTGATAGGCAGTGAACCAAAAAAACCTAATTGGTTACTCAGTGCATCAGACCATGTCACACACCATATCAAAATGTGCAAGTTGTAGTCACGTGACACGGTATTTCACAGAAAATCAGTAAACCGTTCTATTAATACAGTTATGCCGTTTATCACATAGCAGTTATATCATTTATGACATTTTACGGTTCGGTAAAAAACATATTATATAGGCGTGACATTATAGGAAAAGCCAGATATTGTTCGAAAGGAAACAGCTAATGGATAAAGATATTATTTTATTACAAATTATCGAGTTACTCAAAATTGTCTCCAGGAGCTAACGTTTCCTCTGACATCTCTTTAATGTTGTAAAGACTTCACGGGATAAGCAAACACTAAATAAGCACCGATTTGACAAAGGTATAGAGGCATATTAGTAACATCATGGTAAAATGGTTGACTTTCGTTTGAGACTAGGTATGATACTACCTATACACCGATCTAGTACATGCGAAAGTTGATACTGTGTCGTGGTTGAGGCCCAACTAAAAATTCTCTGGTTTTGTTTATCAGAGTGCGGTCTTTAACGCTAAAGGCCGGGCGGTGAGTGCTGATGTCCCTCATCGCCGCCGGCTCTTTGTTTAAAACCAGCCCGGCCGGCCTAGCCCGCCCGGCCCGGCACGGTGAACACAGCGAGCTGGTCGGATGAATCCTGGCACTGTGGACAGCCTCATTATACGGGTAGGAAGCCTGATCGTGCTTGGCATTGCGCCACTGCCAAGTGAGGCTTTTGGTCTAAGATGTTAAAGAGTTCCCTTTCGTTGGTAAAAAAGATTTTGTGTCCTTTGTCTCGTCGTCATTGTCGTCCTCTTCACTGTTGTCCTCTTCACTGCCGTACTATTCAATGTCGTCCTCGTCTTTGTCGTTTTTGTCGCTGTCGTCGCTGTCGCCTTTGTCGTTGTTGTCATTGTTAATTTTGTCGTCGTTGTTGACATCTTCATTGTCGGTTCGCCCCCGCCATTGTTGCCGTCAGTGTCGTTGTCGTTGTCGTTGTCGTCATTGTTGGTTTTGATGTTTTTTTCGTCGTTGTCGATATCTTCGCTGTCGGTGTCGTCCCCGCCTTCATTGCCATCAGTGTCGTCGTCCTCCATGTTTATGTTGTTAACATTTACGGGGTTGATTTCCTTCTTTATTGAGATATCTGAATATTTTGTCGTTCTGTGATTGGCTTTGTGTGTGCGTCAGACAAGTTCGTGTCAAATCGTCGCATGTCGTTTTGTCGTCTGGTCCAATATGTGGATACATTGGGGTATTTTTTAGTCATGATGTAATTAAATCTAGTCTCTGCATTTTCAGACTTCTTTACATGTATTTTTTCAGAGATACAAAGTCACTTTTCTTTTTAAATTGGACTAAGAGGGACATAATCTTAACATGGTTACCGATGGCTCGTCTTTATTGGACATTCTAGAACAGGATATGGACACTGATTCTGGCGTATAAGGTAAAATCAACGGTAAAATTCCTAGTAACCACCCCCGCTTGAACTTTGGGATTTTTATAAATGGCACGCATTCCACTGTATTAACTAATGCAATCCAAAACCATCACAATATCAGAGGTCTTTAAGGAATTAGTTCTTGTTTCACTATAGCTACAGAGAGCTCAGTCTTTTTCGTGAACAGCCTACACAATATCGAACTTATTATTAACATCAGGATATCTTTAAAATCGTGATAGGTTATGCCATTATATGAGACCGATGGACTTTTGCTCGATTAATTTAGAACACCTGTGGCTCACGGCAAATCTGAATGCTCATATTTTGAGTTTACTTTTGGCTCGGATAAATTAGTCCACAGACTTTGTATAAGCTGCGATCGCTACGTTAAAAGAGAAAAAATGTTTTTTCCTTTTCCTTTTTTTAAACCAGTAATTCTCATGTTTGTTTTAAGCTGTAACTGTCATATAATGTATATGACAAGGACCCTGTTCGTGATACGTCCATATCGCAGCGTTTGCATGAAGCTGTGGACAATATTCCCAGTCATGCCGACACTTCTATCTTTTAATCATTTAAAACAATTTGTAGCAGAATCCAGGGAACTCAATAAGGTATCATTTTTCACCCTTGAAATGCGACATGCGATACCCAGCTCGCCTCGTTTACATATCAAAGCAATCCTTTTAAAAAATAGATGATCCTTGGCTGGAATCAATTCCCCTGTGGAGGTGACAATCAGCAATCTTCGATAATAATAAAATCTAATTCAGTCCTCAGGCTTTTTTTTCAAAAGGAGACAAAGTGTAACAAGCGTCGCCCACGGTCCATCGCTGGCTGACTCTCTCTGTCTATTTTCATGAGCCAAGGACTGCTGGACATAGCGCGGACAGGGTCTGGCAAGCCACGCTCGATCAAAGATGGAGAACGATTTGACTCGGCTGGGGAGAGAGTGGATGGGGGCCATGGGGCCCGATCATGCATAACCAAGGAGTAGAATGCTCTTTCAGCGTTCCTGCGGAAAATTATCTTTTGGCGCCGCGACTCGACAATCGGAGACCAATTAAGCCGTGCAACCATCCAAGGCGGCTTTTCCCCTTTTACCCAATGCGAGAGAGATAGAAAAAAAAACAGCAGAAAAAACCCACTACGTCTGGTATACCTTCCGAAACGCTACAGCCTGTGTCAGCTCGTCCGTCATTGGACGATCAAGGTCACGTGCTTTGAATGGAGAAAGTGAGAGGCATGGATGGGTAACGTGTATGTCGTTAAAGACTCAAATGGATGCTAGGATTGAACCGTATCCAACTCGGCCCGCATAGCAAACAAAAATAGTTCAATTTTGACAATTAGTTGGTTTACCGGTGAGGCGTGAGGATGAGTTCCGCGTCGACGTGCGGAGTGGATCCCAAATTCCCGCCGCTGGAGGAATACGCGCAGTCCAGCTACATTCCGACCAATGGCTGCTACAGCGGCCCACACTTCGCTAACGAGAACCACAGGTTCGGCGAAGCCAACTCCTCGCCGACCTTCCACCAGGAGTACGAGAAATACCGGGCGAACTTTGCCGAGTGCGACCAGGCCCGGCCCGCTAGCCTACAGCATAACTTCAGCAGCTTCACCGCCGCGCTGGCAGGCGAGGGAAATGTGGAAAGCTGGGGCGACTATCCGAGTAACACGGACAGAGACAATGGCTGGACCAGCCTAGGGACCAATAGTCCCTGTCTATTCAAACAAAGAGGGTCCGGCAAACTTGGGAATAACCAGATGCCGGCCCAGCAACTCCCGCTATATCCCTGGATGAAACGAATACACGTCAATCCTGGTAAGTCGAAAAAACGAAATCAAACTGGCTCGAGACAATCAAATTTTAATTTGTGTTGTGAGTCAATTAACTTTCATTTTCGAATTCCATGTTATGGTTGTATGGTTTACCAAAAAGTCTCCATTTTCGTTTGCGTTTCCAATTGACGATTTGGGAGTGGTGATTAATTAAGATTTTCTTATTTGATTTTTTTTTAACTTGCTGGAATGCAGCCCTTATTTTGGTTTTCCTCTGTAATTCAAGAACAACTGACCCTAATGTTTTTAACAGTTACTTCCGTAAAAGTCTTAATGAGTTAGATATTCTTTAAACAATTTCGACATATAGGAGCCTAACTGCAAGCATACCCAAAATCAAATCCTTCTCGCTAACGCCCCCTTGGAATAAAAGTACAATGTCTCTCCAGAGAATAACACTCTAAAAAGTGCATATACTTCGCCAGACACTGTTGGTAAATCGTCGGTTTCTTTCAACAGATGCGCGTGTGACAAATGATCCAGATATATTCATTAATTATCCCATTCAGCGTTCGCATAGTGCTCAGCTTTGTGCAAGCCACACCAACTCAACGTAAATACACGCAGCGATACTAATACATTTTACGGGCGTTTTTTTTCTTTCTGTCTCTCCGTACAGCGGTCGGGAGTCGTTTATCAGCATCCGGTGTCGACAACAAACGGACCCGCACTTCGTACACCAGGCAACAGCTTTTAGAGCTGGAGAAGGAATTCCATTTCAACCGCTACCTGACGCGGAGACGGCGCATCGAAATCGCCCAGTCCCTCGGACTCTCGGAGCGGCAGATCAAGATCTGGTTCCAGAACCGTCGGATGAAGTGGAAGAAAGACCACAACCTTCCCAACACCAAGCCCCGAGCCGGCACGACCACGCAGGCGGGCACCCGCCCCGCTGGACCGGCTAACTTCGACGCCACGCCGGCGACGGATATCAAGCGGGACACGCCGGAGAGTACGAGCACGGATTCGTCGTGACCTGGCTGCGATGGAACAGTTGTGCTCATATCCGGTACTGTTATCATGTACTTAATTTTGCCGCACCGAATCAATTGTTACTGAGTTGTAAATTATGTAACTTCAGTGACAAGTTCGATTAAGTAAAACTGGTTTCATCCAGGCATGCCACCGAACAGTCTCCTTTATGCTGCCGATTAAAGCCGGACTCCTTAACATTTTTAACAGCCCGGCATTGTCTTCAGTTTTGTTCTTTATATAATAATCAGCAGGATTAAACAATTTCACTCGGAAAAGCTTCAACAATTAGTAAACATCCACCATAGAGGCGTGGCTTTCACATCAGCTTAGAAAAAAAAGGATAGGAGTGATACATTGCATGACACATTTATTTCCATACTTAAACCAATGACAAAATTTAAACTCTCTTAAAAATTAGTTGATTGTTACAATCATTATCAAAACAGGAAGGATTCTTATGTTATTTTCCAGTCCCAGAGTCTATATTATTTTGATTACTTGTTCGGATATTTTCATGCGAATACTTCAAATGGCTTTTATTCGTCAAGCTTATATGCAGGGTGTTTTAAAGTATCTCTCAATTTTTGTACGTATGAGTTCGATTATTTTTGCGTGTGTAATTTCGTTTCTAAAAGATAAAACACCATTTCAATCTTCAATTATTCGGCTCGTTCAACGATGACAAATTTGTGAAAACTTTTAATTTCAACGATTTCGTTGAAATTAGACACAATTTTAAACTTTTCAGTCATGCATTTCTGGGATTGAACCTATCGAACTGAAAAACTTGATAAGTTTAGGCTCATCTACAAAATGCAAATCAATTGTTGGAGACATGCCCTTTCAAATAAAAAAAAGAAATTACAAGTTTTGCGGTTATGGAAAACTATTGGACTTTTCCATTAAAGTCCATAAGGTGAATGGTCTAAGGCTTTACACTGAAGGGCGAGAGAACTGTCCTTATTATGTTGATGCCGATTCACTGTATACAACATGGACAACTCTCTGTGCTCAAAGTACAATATGTTGTTGTTGTTGTTGTTTTTGTTGTTGTTGTCGTTGGTGTTGTTGTTATTGTTGTTGCTGTTGACAAGACCTTGCCATTCCTAGAGCATAACATGTTTTATTTTTGCGTTTTATTTAATTTTTTTGTGTTAATTTATTAATTTATTTAAACCTTTTCTTTTCTCTCTTCTAAGGGTTCTAAGACTAAGGTCTAAACAGAATAATTATGTAAGGTATTCCCAACTGTCAATTTTTTTTGTCGGTACATTAATCAAAAAGTTGTTTTTAAGTCCCTTTTTTAATTCTTGAAAGTCCACCAGCTTAAAGGGAAGATACAACATTTGCAAACATCTCAAAACGAAATGATCAAATTATCACAAAATACCTTACTGGATTGTTAGGGAATGACAGTCTAAAAGCATCCTGTAAAATCGTGGCTCCTGGTGTGCCAACATTTTCAAGAAAAATTGTATTTTTCCAACGCTGGTTGGCCGACCAGCGTTGGAGAAAACTGGCTTTTTTTTCTCAAAAACTGCTTGCAAACTCTTTGCTGCAAAAACTGCAAAAACTATTTGCAATTGTTTACACACCTGTGAAGGGGTACAAGCCTGCTAGACGATTCTCTGAACTTACAATTCCCCAAAGTCTATAAATTCTCCGTTCCATCTTAAGTGGGGTCAGGGAACCAGACTACAAGAAAATTGATGATTTTCTTGGTTTTTCCAGCATCTACAAGCCCAAAACGTGAAACAAGTCATTTTAACAATATTTGCTACAACATACTAATCCTCCAAATCCATTTGTTTCTGAAAATTGAAGCAAAAGCAAATGTTGTACATTCCCTTTAACGGTGAAAAAAAAGCGGATTCCTTACCCGTCCGCCACGTTTTGTGAGAAATCAATCACCAATGCTGTTTTCTTTATGGCAACACAGTTTGCGACTTCAGTCAGAACATCATCCATTATCTTTTTTTCCGCAACTCTTATAAGGCAAAGAGTTTTATTTTCAAGCACAAAACGCAGGCCATTTGCAGGCTAACAGGGGAGACAAAAAATTATTCCGATATAGCGATTTTGCCATTGAATCTGAAATCGATGGACCGTTCAAAATAACCCTTTTCATCTTAACTTATCGGTAACTATTACATCTTATTCATCAGCGACTCAAATATAATTACCTGAAATTGTGAATCCAAGTATAAGAAGAGATGTCATCTGAAAAGAATTATAAATAACCGCTGTATGTTAATGGTGCTGTTTAAAACAGCTAGAGAGAACGGAGATGTAAATATTCGTATATCATGAGGTCTCTATATGTCATTTTTAATTCAGATTTGTGAAATAAAGCATTGTTGTCATTAAGTGTCTATATTAAGAAAGACTTCCATTAAATTTGTCACTATATACTGTTGTCAGACATTGCTTCAGATCGGGATAGGTCATGCATGCTCGTCGAAAGTTGGAGTGACGCGAGGGCATTGTGTTTTACTATATATATGATGTTGATTCTAAGGGATCAATCTGTTCATCTCCAACTTCAGTGGAATATATATGACCAAAAAAAGACAAACCTGTTATAGAAGAAGCTTCTAGAACATGTTGTCATTGCTTGATACTAAGTTAAAAATCAAAACCGGTTTCGTATTTTTCTAAAAACTTACCTTGGATGCTAGAATAAGGAGTGTTAATCCGAATTAACACTTGGAAACAGTCGTTGTAATATCAACGTGTTAGTGGTATACAACAGTAGCGGATCTGGGGGTAGGGGGGGGTTGCAACCCTCACCCCCCCCCCCCTCCCACCACCACCACCCGTTCAGCCGCTGACTAATGTTATGATACTTATAAAATGGGGCCACAAAATGACAAATAGAATGCTAACCTTCCTAAATCTATTCTCAAATTCTGTTGGAATACAGGAGAAAGCATCGTGGATTTCAAAATGTATCGGGGCATGCCCTCAGAACCCCCTAGCAGAACCCCCACGCCTTCACTCACCCCCCCCCCCCACTTCATGTCACCCCCCCCCCCCCGCTTCCCCGTTTTCTGAAAACTAGATCTGCCTCTGGCACAAATAACAAAGAATACAGAGCACTTTGAATATGTAATTATGCAGATTATAATTTAGATAGGCCTATATTTTTGAAAAACGACTTTTGAAATGTGCTTTTACTTTTCTTTAGAAATGCATTTGCATGATACTTTTCGCAATGATTAAGTTTTTGGTACTGTTGCATTCACATGTTTGAGTTGATTGATACAAATTATTTTTTTGCGTTTTCCACAATGTTGTAAACATTCAACTCCATACTGCCAAGACCTCTACAAATAAAATAGAAAGGTATATGGTCTGCTGGACACTTCAAAAATCTCGCCAGAATTTATTTTACCATGGAACTTGATCGTTTTGATTGAAAAACAAGACCTTTTTCCCAAAAGTGTCTCCCGGTATAGTTTGCTGCATGGTGGGATTAGATAGCCCAAGAGAAGGTACTGCCTTGTGACAAAGTTCATTGTAAGTGAAGACAGTCCATCCAGTTGCAACATTCATGACTGACTATAGACCATTTTCGGAATGGCCATTAATAGGGAACAGAAATCTAGGTCTTTGCAGTTAGACTGTTTCAGATACTCTATCATCCGAAATATTTCCTGCAGTCCGACAAATATACTGTAAATTTGTACTTCAATTCATTTTGTTTGGTCAAAGTACAAAGGGAATGCTAAATTAATTTTTGTAATAGTTTTTACAGACAAATAGCCGAATTCTTGGATTTGTGCACCCTGGAAAGTAGCAACAAACTATGACATCTGGGTCACAAAGACACCCCCCCCCTTGAGTTTAGTCCCCAGTTTGGCTTTGTCCCTCACCAAATGGCCTAATTGAGGCTGTCCTCGACGCTTCACAGGTGACCGGGTATTTTGCATGACAAGCCGGGTCGACGCCGCTCTGTCGGTTCACTCCGAAGCCTCGGCATTGTATCTCGTAGCCTGCCGACAACCACCGGGTTGCTCGCCAGATACTGCTGGGGGCCGGGCGGCACGTGTTCAGCCTGCTCTTCCGCGCTTTTCGATTACTCCCGCGTAATTTCGTGCCTCTGTTTTTTTTTTAAATAATAATCCAATCAAAATATTCATGATGATTATATTTTACCCTGAACTCTTTTGCCGTCAGTCTAATAGGTGGGCAGTAGAACGAAAGCAACGTACTGGGAAACTGCGATAGTATAATTCTGAGTGAAAATTGTCTTCCACTTGAACATGTGTTATAAACGGAAGGTATTTTGTTCTGTACGGTAAAATTACAACTTGTATGATTAATTTTAAAAAAATCTCCTTTTTCCTCTCTATTTTTTGGGCGTCTGCAAACCTTAGAAAAAAGGCTTTGCTTTTGCACACAAACGGATCCGCGTGCGAGTAGACTGGTTCCCGGTTCCTTGATCAAGCAACAATGATGAGGAGGCGGGAGCCAGTCTGCTGTGCCAAAATAGACTTATTGTCGGACCGCAAATAATTTCAAACTTGTAAAATGTTTTTTTCATAAATCATCCATTTTTTCCATTCGGTCTCTAATCGAAAAGTGAATAACGTTTAAGTGTCAGAAAATAGCAATGTAAAAAGTTATTATTTTTTTCGGGGAGAAAATTGAAAATGAAAGGGCAGTTTTTTAAGACAATCTCTCCTCCGGTTAAAAATTAGGACAACCGAATGATACAAAGATGAAACAATGTTAAGTGTGCTATGCAGAAAAAACGTTCTTGAGAGGAAGGGTTGTATACCTATTGAATAATGTTCATTTTATCAAAAACGCAACTGATTGTTTTGTACAACCGATTTATGACTATAGGACTTAATTGTTATCATATTTTTACTCAAATTTATTCCGCGGATTTGGAGTTTTGGTGTTTGTGTGTACATCATCCTGCTGTTTATGATCGCCTAAGCCAGGCAAGGCAAGCAGAAGTAACGCGATTCCTTTCCCCTCAATTTCACATCCCGCACTAATCGCGCAACGCTGATATACATTATTAACATCCCAACGCCGCTAGCAAATTGATTTCCGCGTATGATTTGATCTCCGATTGGGGACACAGACTGTATAACACGTGTACCAAGCGGTTTTCCCCGTGCTATGGCAATCGTATATAAACATGAGAAGCACGCACGCACCCTATGCGTGTTCCGTGTGCTGTTTTAAAGTGGGAAAGGCCTAATGAAGGTAGGAATGAGATCAATATTAATGGTATACAAGATGGCATTAGTAACAAACGATTGGGTGTGAATAAATCGCTGCATTTGGCCTTTAGCGAGCTGCCAATTGGCTGAAATGCATCGCCATCCACCATCTATGGAATGTTACGGTTGAATACTGCGCCGGGGTTATGACCTGGTCTAACAAACAGTCGGAAAACACCTGTCTCCCCCTTTTATTCGAAGGTTGCGACGGAATTTATTTATTCTAATATTTTTTTGTGCACTTTGTGTGCCCTGAATTGGCCCAACTCAACCTTTCACTCTGCAGTTGTTGTGGTTTGCCTTTTTAACCATTTTATGAAAAACGAAAACTCTGCAGCCTTTCACTTTTTTTCTTTTGAAAGTGGCTTGACAATTGGAGAAGATTCTACTAAGGTTTGGCTCAATATATTCGGAACAATACGTTATTTATTCGAGTGCAGCCTACATTGCCTGGGATATGTAGTTGGAGAAACCGTTGGCCATCTTTTGAGCGTTTAATATGCTGAATGAAAT